TGTCTGTCTGATCTAGAGCGTGTCTGTCTGATCCTAGAGCGTCTATCTGATCTAGAGCGTTTCTGTCTGATCCTAGAGTGTGTCTGTCTGATCCTAGAGCGCGTCTATCTGATCTAGAGCGTTTCTGTCTGATCCTAGAGCGTGTCTGTCTGATCCTAGAGCCTAGAGCATCTATCTGATCCTAGAGCGTGTCTGTCTGATCCTAGAGCCTAGAGCGTCTATCTGATCTAGAGCATGTCTGTCTGATCCTAGAGCGTCTCTGTCTGATCCTAGAGCGTCTATCTGATCTAGAGCGTGTCTGTCTGATCCTAGAGCGTGTCTGTCTGATCCTAGAGCGTCTATCTGATCTAGAGCGTGTCTGTCTGATCTACAATGTGACATGATTACAGATGCACAGATAAATCAGCTGTGATTGACAACACTTGATAAAATTATTAATGACATTTATGTAATGTTGGATCATGAATAATTGATTCAAAAGTTTGAAGTTGATTCATACATTTTTTTCAACTTAAAATGAACATATGAACACAAAATTAACTTGATTAAATGATTAGAAAATTATCAGCACAAAATTAACGATGAAATTACCATAAAATGCTGAAAAGATAAGTATTTGATTTAAATATTCATTGCATTCACGTTAAAATGACTATGTGAGTTATGTTTCATTAGAAACTATATGAATACGTTTATTTAATGTGATGATGTTTGTAAATGTGTCTGTAAATCAGTAAAGGTGATTTATAGAATCACGTCCTGCAGGAGCACAAGGATCAAACGGAGGGACGGTCGGATGAGTTTCTGTCTGTGGAATGTGGTCTGATCCAGGTGTGCTAAAGGTCAAAGTTCACGTGACACATGACAGGTGCTGTTAGTGCTGTTAGCAACTGGCAATAATGAAAGGCAGCGAGTAGATGAGTGAGTGTGAGTGTGTGTGTGTCTCATGCTGTATATTCATAAGATCAAGCGTGACTCTTCTTTGTCTCTCTGTGTTCAGATGAGTCTGTTCCCCGTGTGCTGGTGGCTCCGGTGGATCAGGTGGTTTTGCGTGATGAGGAGGCCGTGTTTCACTGTCAGTTCAGAGCGAAGCCGCCGCCGCTGATCGAGTGGTTCCACAACGCAGAACCCGTCGTCAACAAATCACGGTGAGATGCTTCATATGCTGAATGTTTCCTAATGCTTACATCACATGCAGACGCTCAAACAGGCTCCAGCTCTTTACTGGTCAGTTTTTACATTCTTTTAAGTGTTGAGAGGGTAAGAGTGCATGGGAATTGACTGTGTGAGGACATATAAAAAAAAAACCTATAAAAATGACAAAAACGACTAAAACTTTAATTAAAATGAAAACAAAATATATGTCTAAGCTAAAAAACTAAAAGTTTCTAAACTAAACATTTACATATAAAATGTATTAAATCTTAACCAAAAAAAATGATTAGAAACTATATAGACTGCGTGAGTCTGTTGAACGTAAAGCTGTTCAGAAGGTCTGACCACCCACAGATAAATGATCCATCACTGGTGCATCATGGGAAGTCCTGTGAATGTTTGGGCACGTTCAGCAGTGATGTTCTGCTTTGATGCGTTTAAATGCACTAATAACATCCTGCACTAATCTCAACACTTTAAAACTGTGGCGCACTGCAGATCTCCGACTCCACATGATCTCTCCAGATTCATGCTCATGACGTCTCCGAAACATTACAGCCCGTTTTTATTGAATCGTTGTAGTAAAGGACCTTCATGTATTTCATGAGATGTTTTAAATCTTTATTATGAAGGATTTTCCTTCCATTGACGTCATTTAGATGTGATGGTTATTATTGTTAACTAAAACCATAAAACAAAAAATTTTGTTACTTGAAAAGATAAAAAAATTTAAAATAAAAATAAAATTATTAATAACTATGTAGACATTAAAAAAATAATAAAAATGACAAAACAACTAAATTACTCAAACTTTAAATTCAAAGTGAAGTCAGAATATATAAAAATAAAATCTAATTCAAAATATTAGTATTATTCAGGAGTGATCACAGGCTGCTCATCATGTAATTCAGGGAGACTTTATCAGTTGTGTTTGACATCAATATTATAAGATATGATGATGAATATCTGCAGTGTAATCTGTCTGGTACTGTAAATGTGTTTGATTCTGCTCTCATCTGATGCATGCTTTCAGTTGTTCATCAGCTTGAAAAGTGTTCAAACACGTCTTCAGCTGTAAACACACTCAGGGGATTCTGGGATTGCAGGCGTTTGCCTCTCTTAGACTGAATCTGAGTGTTAGATTGTGTTTGATCAGACAGATTGTGTCTGATGATCCTCGTCTGAAGCCTTAAACACACACCCGTGACCCACATACGTCGCTTAGCAACAGTAAACAGCTCTAATCAACACTAATCAACAACACGTTTGTGGCAGAATTGTTTATATTCTGGTTATTAATAAAATTAACAATGTATCGCGTTGCTGAATTCTGTACATTTACAGTGATTTTACTAATTTAATGTAATTTTACGGTGATCTTGCAGTGGTTTATTGCTGTAACTAACCGTGTGTGTGTGTGTGGCAGGTTTGTGGTGTACGCTAACGGCACACTGCACATCAGTCAGGTGAAGCAGCGCAGCACAGGTGTGTATAAATGTGTGGCTCAGTATGGAGAAAACAAACAAGTACATGTGGAGGCAGCGCTCAGGATCGCAGGTGAGAGAAGACTCACTCACTCACTCTCTCACACACACACACACACACACACACAGGTTTGTTTTTGTGAAAAGTGGGGACATCCCATAGGCGTAATGGTTTTTATACTGTACAGACCGTATATTCTATTGCCCTACACCAATCCTACCCCTAAACCTACCCCTCACAGGAAACTTTGTGCTATTTCAGATTTTCAATACACTCCATTCTGTGTGATTTATAAGCGTTTTGAAAAGTGGGGACATGGAGTAATGTCCTGAAAAGTCACCTTCTCCTTGTAATACCTATGTCATACCTTTGTCATTATACAAATTTATGTCCTCATTTGTCACAAAAACGCGTGCGCACACACACACTCACTCACTGTCTCACACACATACTCACACTCACACACACACACTCGCGCACGCACATACACACACTCACACTCACACACACACACTCGCGCACGCACATACACACACTCACACTCACACACACACACTCGCGCACGCACATACACACACTCACACTCACACACACACACTCGCGCACGCACATACACACACTCACACTCACACACACACACTCGCGCACGCACATACACACACTCACACTCACACACACACACTCGCGCACGCACATACACACACTCACACTCACACACACACACTCGCGCACGCACATACACACACTCACACTCACACACACACACACTCACTCACTGTCTCACACACACACTCACACTCTCTCTCACACACACACACTCACTCACTGTCTCACACACACACACACTCCTGAACTCCTGTCAGCCAACATACTATGGAAGTCAATGGTTACCAACCTTCTTCAGAATATCTTTTTTTATGTTTTTGGTTTTGGGTGAACTGTCCCTTTAATGTTCTTTTTATTATTTGGTCATTAAGTTTCCTAAAGATTGTGTCATTAGACTAGTTAGTATCGGTACTAGTCTCTTCACACAGATGTTTTAATAGCATTTCTCATTTATAGCAGCATCAGAGTTCAGTTCATTTATATGAATCAGTTCAAACTGACTGATTCCAAACTGAACTGAAAGATTCGTTTTACTTGATGCTAACCAGAGTCTCTATCTGTAGATAAATATTGCTGTTCATGACTTGAGTTCATAGAAATGAAGTGTAGAAATGATGTGTAGATGACTCAGTGACTCGTGCTGAATCTGGCTGAGCTGAATGGATTCATGTGTGTTGTGTTTCAGAGGCGTGATTCCTCTCTACATGTGACGCGTGACGACGATGATTCTGACGTGAGCGACTGCTGCCTGAATCCTGAAGACCAGAGGAAATCCAAACAGCAGGTCAGTGCCACATCACCGTCTCATTCCCATCATGCTCTGCTCTGACCGACTCAGTCCCATCATGCTCTGCTCTGACCGACTCAATCCCATCATGCATTGCTCTGACCCTCTCCTCACTCACTCACTCACTCACTCACTCACTCACTCACTCACTCACTCACTCACTCACTCACTCACTCACTCACTCACTCACTCACTCACTCACTCACTCACTCACTCACTCACTCACTCACTCACTCACTCACTCACTCACTCACTCACTCACACACATACACAAACTCACTCACACACACACACATTCACTCACTGACACACACACACACACACAACCACGCACACACACACACACACACACACACACACTGGTTTTCCTATCATTATGGGGAGCATAATATCATAGGCATAATGGTTTTTATACTGTACAAACTGTATTTTCTAGCCCCATCTTCTGGCTGATTTATAAGCCTTTTTAGCTAGTGAGGACCAGTCAAATGTCTCACTAGTGGGTTGTTAAATATATATAACCTCATCTCTTCAAATAATCTGGATATTTATTTCCTGGATAAAATCAGGTGATCCAAGTCCTCTTTCTGAACTGGTTCCCCTGAGTATGAATGTTTTAATACTCCCCATTTAACTGGCTCGTGACTGTTTTCAGAAATAAAGTAGTGTCTCTTATCTCTCACGGCCACCTTCAGTAGTTTGGAGGTTCAGGAAATACACTTAAACTGTCCTCATGTTGTTTTACTTCTATTAATTTATCGCCCCTTTCATCTAGTAATTTTATACCGTAAACAAGTTTGCTGATCTTTTAGGGGATGTCTTGACTAGATATTATCATATTTTAATACTTGGTGATTTTAATATTCATGTATGCTGCTCTGCCAATGCCTTAGCTGAGGAATTTTTATTTCTTCCATGGATGTTGTTCAGTGGGTGAATGGTCCTACATACTCTCACGGTCATCCGCTTGATTTAATATTGACATATGGGCTGTCTGTAGCTGACATTGACATCTGTGATGTTCCACTTTCTGATCACAGGCCGGTGCTCTGCTCTACACTCCTTCCGGCTCCACCTAAAACCTTACGTATTCTGACCTCGCACTCCAATCATGTCTTCTCTGAACTGTATTTGGCGACTGAAAATCAGCTTATTTCTGATTCTGTTACATCACATCTAGATGTTGATGAGCAGATACAATCTTACAAATGCTCTGACATTTTGGACTTTTTTGCACCTCGGAAGCTTGTCTATCCCCGAAACAAGTCTCAGCCTTGGATCAACAACAATATCCGATTATTACGACAGCAATGCAGACGGCTTGAACGTAAATGGAAAAAGATAGGCTCCAAGTATCATTTGAAATGCTGAATGTTTCCCTACTTAATTTCCAAAAGGCTGTTAGGGCATACATTTTCACTGATATCATTGTGAAAAACTCAAATTGTTCTAGAACGCTCTTCTCAACTATTGATTCTGTCCTAAACCCTCCTCTTAAGACTTTATCTCCACTTTTGAGTGTGAAAATTTTCTTAACTTATTTTCTGACAAAATCAAAACTACTCGAGGCCAAGTTTTTACCTCAATACAGCCTGTACTTGATTCCTCCTTCTCCTGTTCACAGTGGAATGAATTTCAGACATTAAGAGAAATCACTTTAAAATTGAAACCTACTTTTTCTCCTCATGTCATTCTTCCTTCCCGTTTTCTAAAACAGATTTTCGATACAGTCGGTGTGGACATTCTACACATTATTAATAATTGTCTTTTGACTGGGACGGTTCCAGCCTGCTTGTGAAAACCCTCGCTTGACGCCACAATATATGCAAACTACTAGACCCATCTCTAATTTACCATTCCTATCCAAAATTCTAAAAAAAAGCTGTTTTTATACAGTTGGAGAATTACCTGCAAATCAATTCAATCTCCGACATTTTTCAGTTCATCTTTAAAACCCTTCATAGCACGGAGTCTGCTCTTTTAAAAGTTTTCAAAGATATTTTATTGACCACAGACGCTGGTGATACCATGGCCTTAGTGCTGTTAGATTTGAGCTGAGCTTTTGACTTCGTGGATCACAGGATTCTTTTATCTCGACTTGAATGCTCGATCGGTATCTCAGGTACAGTTTTGAAATGCTTCCAATCTTTTCTGTCAAATAGAAGTTTTTCTGGCAGTTTCGGTGTCCATTCATCCTCGGTGACTCAAATTACTTGTGGTGTACCCCAGGGATCGGTTTTAGCACCATTATTATTGTCATTATATATGTTACTTCTGGGATCAATTATGTGCTTGCAGCGTATCTCGCGAGACCATATCACACCAATCTTACGTTCTTTGCATTGGCTGCCACTTATATATCGAAATGACTACAAAATTCTGGTATTTGTTTACAAAGCTCTCAACGACTTGGCTCCTAAATATCTCTCCGATTTAATTGTTACTTAATTGTTTCGTACAGCACTTTGGCCAACTAAGGTTGATTTTAAATGTGCTTTATAAATAAAACTGAATTTAATTGAAAATTTCACAATAGAAGTAAAGACATTTGGTCCACACAAGTATAGACAAAACAAATACACTCACACACACACACTTAAAATAAACTGAAAATAAAATTAAATATAAAAAAAATATATATTTTTAGCTAGTTCCAAAGGCAACATTTCTATTTTCATCTGACATAAAATAATAAAACCTATGTAGACATGTTAAAAAAAAAACGAAGAAAATTAAGAAAAATATGCAAAAAAACAAAAAAATATTGAATGTTTAACAAAAAGAAATAATATAAAAACAGAAAATATCTGTTCTCAGCTCCGGTGTTGTTTATGTCTCTCTGTAGAGATCGCAGACATGGGTGAGCCCATGTTCTGGGTTTTCACGGCGGGCCGCAGTGAGCGTGTGCGCTGTGATCCACCGCAGGGTCAGCCGGAGCCACAGGTGTGGTGGGAGCGTGCGGGAGCTCGTGTGGCGTCTGAGGGTCGAGTCCATCAGCAGGACGGAGATCTGATCTTCAGCCCCACAGACGGATCAGACTTGGGCATCTACACGTGTGTCGCCCGCAACACAGCCGGACAGAAGCAGCAGGAGCTCGTCGTCACTGTAGCCAGTGAGTGAAACACCAAACAAAACTAACTAAATAATTAACTAACTAGCCAACCTCCACACTGATCACAGATGACCCAGTGAGACAGCAGTCTTTAACCCTTCGTTTGCTGGAATGACTAATAAATCAGAAGCTGGTCTTTCATAAGATCTGGGATTTTTAGTAGGTTCACAAATATTAACCCTATAAAGACTAACTTTTTTTAATTGAACAATTTATTAAACCTTTAGACAAATCTCCCAAAAATAGTGTTTTTTGTTGAGCATCATATTTGAGCCATCAGGCTTTTATGGTTCATATAGTCTGATAGAGTGAGAATATGGAGGAAAAACAGCTCAGTTTTATTCAAAAATATGAATTTGCTGCAGATGCTGATATTTATATGATGAAATTCTGCTGCTTGTGATGTAATTCAGAGAAGTCAGGATTTGACAGCAGAAAGACACGAGAAGCGTTTGTACAATTACACTAAAAGAGCTTTGAATGGATAAAAAACTCTAAACTATCAATCAGACGACAGAAGACATGCAGGAGATTGAGTGTGAAACAGGTTTAACAGCAAAGTTTGAGTATTTAGAACTTTAGAAATGTGTGCGTCAAATATGTGTGATGTTTAGAGACATACTAGAATCTTTAAATGAAAACAGTGGAAGTTTATGAGAGAACCTCACTAATGTGTGTGTGTGTGTGTGTGTGTGTGTGTGTGTGTGTCACAGCCTCTCCAGAATGGATCGTTCAGCCGCAGGACACACGCGTCGAGGAGGGTCAGCCGGGTTTCCTGCACTGTCACGCACGGGGCACGCCAGAACCACGGGTCACATGGTACCGCAAGAGCATCCCGATCAGTGAGGAGGTGAATGAGTGAATGAACGCAGTCGTCACGCCTCATCAGATCACTCTGATCAGGTTTAACACACTCTCTGTCTGTAGGGCTCTCGTTATAAGCTCTTCTCTAACGGGACGCTGAGGATCAACAGCGCAGAGCTGAAGGACGCTCAGACGTACAGCTGTGTGTGTGTGACGGAGGGCGGATCGCTCATCGGACACGCGCAGGTTCTCATACTGGGTGAGAGGAACTGCTGCTTAGTTTCCATACACACATCGTCATGATTAGCAGCAACACTGAAGGCTGACAGCTTACTAAATAAAGTAATTAATAATGTTTTAATGAAAGTGCATAGAGGTTTGTGTTGATAGCAGGGTTCTTTCTTGTATCGGTAGCCAATGAGCTCGCTGCTCAACATTCAAATATATGACTAGTGCTTGCTGTAGCAGTTGCCGCTTGCTTCAGAAACCCTCCACCTTCCCCAGCTCCACCTGTACAACATATATCCATGTTGTTAATTAAACATTACACATAGTGCGCGTCTAATTAGTTAAGCCAGTCGGCGTGGTAGCCCAGGCTCACATAGTCATAGCCCACTAGCATTAAGCCAGTAGGCGTGGTAGCCCAGGCACACATACATGCAGTCCACATGACTCTTTGGAGCAGCAGCAGTTCATATGTCTTGGCGATAGATCTGCTTATTGGGGGTGTTTTGTTCTTGTTTTGGCTTGTATTGTCCCTTCTATGTGTCCTGCTTTGTGGGGGGTTATTTCATGCATGTTATATTTGCAGCAGCAGTGTTTCTTACATGCTCACAGCAGCATGTTGTGGATGTTGACATTGAAAGAAATATAGTTTTTTATAATTTATAGTTTAGTTATTTGTAATTTTATTATAAATTTTATTTTCATTTTTTATAATAATTTTAATTTCTATAACTTATTTCAGCTAGTTGCCAAGGCTGCGTTTCTTATTTTCATTTAGTTGAACTAAAACTGAAATTAAAACTATATTAAATAAAGTATAGAACTATATTAAATAGAAGGAGCGCGTGTAATTTAATTGCTCCCTTCCTGCGTTTAAGTGCGAACTGTAGTTTCGATTTGAGGAATTGCC